CTCACCTCAGCCTCCCAAAGGCACGGGATTACAGGCTGAGCCACCGAGCCCGGCCATAATTAACTTTTAATTTGGTATTTAGTCTAGACTTCTTAAAATATGAAAATGCAACAGTTGATTAGTGTATATGTAAGGTAAAGTTATAAATAAAAGGTTTACAGTAGGAACTATCACAAATGTAGATATGCTAATAAGCATTATGCTAGCCACCAACTGTTCAGCCAACTTCTTTTTGAAATCTTCCCCTGATAATCTTCTGTATCCATATTTAGTCTGCATGTTGAGTGGATATAAACTCTAAGGAAAAGTGATTTCTTTGAAAATCACATTTTTTCTCTACTTGTAGAAGTTTACTCTTATAAATCAAGTTGTTGATGATTACATTGTTAACATTTTAAAAACTAGATGTGTTATATAGTATTGGTTAATAGGGAATTGGCTATTTCTGTAATCAGAAGGAAAGAATCAGATCTTTTTCATTAAGCTATGATTTGGGTATGCTTGGGAGCACTAATGTTACATTTTGTATTCAATATTGTAACCCTGTGGGTGAAGTGGATTCTTTAAAAGAAGAAAAAATTCTGTGATACCTGGACTCATTCTACTTTGGATTTTAGAAAAGCAATGGTATCAAAGTAATTTCTCATTCATTTTTAAAATACTGAAAATATTTGGAACTGGTTACTTCAGATGTACTTTTGTCTTCCCAAAACAAACTACTTCATTGATCTTCTGGTATCACTTATAAAAATAAAAAGGTTATTAAATTATTCTAATTAGAGTTGTACAATGCTAGAAATTCAACCTATATTTAACTGATTTTTTTTCCATTTTTTCCCCTTAACTAGGTCCTTTGTGATGTTGCTTGAGCTTATTCTCCTGCAGTTGATCTCATTCCTGTTGGCTAAACCTTAAGTCCCATGACAACATTAAGTTAATGTTCCTATGTTTTAGGCCTCATCTAGAGTACCAGGACAATATTATAGAAAAAACTGCCTGTATGTTAGGTGACCTAATTTTTAAAAAAAATCTTTTTAAAATGATGATTTTATAGTCATTGTCACACCCTTGGTTTATTCTACACTAAAGAACATAGTTGAGTTTTTGGAAGTACAGGATTTACAAATTTGGTCTTAATATACACACATATAAATGTTACAATTAATGAAGTAAGAAATTGCTTAAGATGAATGTTTATTGTGGAACAGTAATATTTCAAATATATTTTTAAATAATTTGGTTTAATATTTGGATTTATATGCTGTAAGTTGATAATGGTTTCTTGATGTTCATTTTATAAAGATGATTCATTTTACTGTTTTATGATACTAATAGGACTCTAACGTTAAATTGATGTGTTAAGTTATACAAATGTTTATATTTGTATTTAAATGATGAAATATTGGACAGTTAGTTTATACTAAATATTTTTGTGATCCTGAGTGAATGTTCCTGCTGGTTTGATGTCTAATGGTTTCAAAAAAAAAAAAGCAAACATGAATTAGCTGTTTTTTTTACATCTGTTCTTCATAGACTATACCCCTTAATGTCAGAACCAAATTTAAAGGAAGTTTCTTTTTTTTTTTTCGTGAAGCAAGAGAAATCAGGGGCTTTCTTTTTCAATAATAAAAACAATAGATATCCAATAATTCATTCTAGTAAGATCTCTAAAGCACGTGTCAGTGAAGAAAACGTAATACTGATTGATAAAACTCTCAGGATTTGCAATGCAGTGAATGCTGAAATAATCTTTACTAGTAATGTAGTATTATCAGAATTTTGAATGTTAGAGCATTATGTTAAAATGTGATTATAGTTTTAATGCTTTGTGTGTTTGAATTTGTGTCTGTAAAGATGTGCAGCATAATTGTTCATGTATTTATTTACAGACTACACTTTCCGTCGCAGCTCAGTAAATAGTCTTTCCCCTGTTAGTGCTACCCTCTCTTCTGGGACTCTCAGCGTGCTTCCTTATACTTCAAGGCCTTATTCTTATCCAAGCTACCCCTTGTCACCAACAATATCACTTGTTAATGGCAGCCATGTTGGACAGCGACTATATATCTCCAATCAGGCCTCATTCTTCTGAAGAAAATATTGTAAACATTAGTATGAAAACTCTATTTGTGTAAAACATGCAAATGAAAATAGTTTTATTTTAAATTGGCTTTGTACATTTGGCTTTAAAAAGATAATATATTTATTCCAGTATTCCAGCATACTGAACATCAGCTATAATTCAGAATAGCAGAGTTGTAGAATTTATAAGAATGCAAAGTTAAAGAAAGTTATTCAGTGGTTTCTCTTGATAAAGGTGTATTAAACTACTATTCTTTTTACACTTTTGGAATTTCCTTCTAATTCCTGAGTAGGTAGTACAACTCAGTAGTTTATGTTAATTTTTTGAATAATAACTTTGCTAAGTAGCATTTTACAAATATTAAAGCACTTGAAGACAATGGTTATATGAGATTTGATTACCAAGGATCACTATCTGTATTGGAGATTAGAAAAATTATATGACCAGAAGCATCTAACTATTATGTAGAAAGAAATGATGAGACAAAAAGATTAAGATGCAGATTGTATGCAGTACTAAAGAAAAAGCAGTCTACCATTGTGGTCCTTGAAAATAACTATAAGCATTTTAGTTATTGTTATAGAAATAAATTATAATTTTTTGCTGTTAATATATTTTAAGTTTTTACAGTTGTGCTTCATTTGTGGTTTTGATATTCATTGTATTGTTGTTTGAATAAGAAGTATTAACAGTTTTTTAATGTTGAAATCATGTGTTGTTTAATTTTTGTACTTGAATTCAAATTCTTTGACATTAAATATGTGATGTTTCTAATATGTGTGTTTTATTTTTATTAGAATGCCTGAAAAATTTAGCTCTCACAATCACTTTGACCTTTTCTTGAGGACAATGTCCCTTACTAGTTATATAGTCATAGGCTTAGTGTGACCCAAGCAAAGGATGTTGCAGACAGAAAATTGTTTTGTGAAATAGTAACAAAAATCAATGTAAAGGTTCAATTGAAATATTTAGTTTGATGTAAGAATGAGTAATGAACTCAGGTCATTTTGACTGATTATTAGTTTAGCAGTGTATATTTATAATGATTTCTGATGCTGATTCTTATAATGTCAGAGACAGAAATCTTTCATATAACAAATGTTAACCTTTGTTGACCAACTTGTTGTGCAGCTGTATTGGGCGCAGGATTTGCAAACATATATCTTGAAATAGTTGCAAATATTTCTCTACAAACTTGAGTTTCAAACAGAAGTTATATGAAGATTAATCTCATTTTTATCTTCTAAATATGTTTATTTTATATAATTATATGCAGTACTTTAAAACAGACGTGGAAAGCAGACACATTTAGTTTTTCATAGAAATGTTTGAAATGACCCATTTCATAATAATTGCAAGTTTCCATATAGCTTTGTTAATTTGGAAAAAAAATCTCAAATACAGAGTTTACCAACTGTACAACGTACTTGGAGATCTGTGGTAATTCAATGAGAAACATATAAACTTTGATATCAGATTTGATTACCACTTCAGTCAAGGAATAACTCTTTGAACTTGGACACTGTTTTAATATTTCTGAGCCATGGTTTTCACTTATGTACAATGGTAATAAATTCCTTATAATGTTAAGTGTAAAGCACTGGCAAATGGAAGGCATTTAAATGGTAGCTTATATTATTTGCATATACTTATATTAAAAATGTAATACACATTTCTTTGTAGTTTTTTGTTCCTTCTCCCTTTAACCAGAAATACAGAAATGAGTACATTCATGTCAAACACTGTCCCTTTTTGTGATTTTATGGATGAGCAGTTAATTTTTTCATAATTAATAAGATTTTATTTGTGAACATAGCTACTAATTATTTGCTGCTTTAATTCTTACAGAATAGGTGTATAAGGCATTTGCTCCAACGGAGAGCTTTCTTAGTTGATAACAGAGTGTTGATACATCCTAGCCATATAGTATAGCTCATTGGGCAGAGAAGCAGTTCTAAAATCAGACTTTATCACATTCGTGTGAAACTTTGTTCAAAGAACCATGGCTGAAGTGTGAGAGTATGACCTATTATTATGGACCTAGGATCTCTCACTTAAAATCCTTTGTAAGCAGAAAGAAAAAAAAAAGGCATGCTCAAAGTTGAATTAACCTTATCTTCTCTAGTTTTATAATGTTAGACAAGGAAACTCTTCTCTATGATTTAAAATCTAGAAGCCATAATAGAAAATATTGATAAATTCAATTTAAGAAAAAAAACCTACATGGTAAGAAGGTACCATAGGTGTGTCAGAAGACAAATAATAAACTGAAACCATATTTGCATATTGTTTTACAAAGAGCTGATCTCTAATATTTCAAGATGTTAGAAAAAGATGAACAACCCAAAAGAAAAATATATAAATAGATGAAAATGGCTCTTAAACATATAAAAAGATGTATCTCATTCATTATAAATGCAAATTAAAATTCAGATTGGCAGAAATTCAAAAGTTTGGTAAACTTTTGGTGGACCTGTAAGGAAATTTAGTATTCTAATTGCCAGCGAGATTAGAAATTGCTATAATTCATGTAGAAAGCAATGTGACAGCTGTTGTCCCAAATAGCAAATACTTAAACCTTTGGATCCACCAGTCCTACCTCTGGGATATACTTGCATGTATGTGTGAAATGATGCAAAGAGCTATTTGTCATTAGGGAACTGGTTAAAATAAGAATAAATTTGTCATTACATACTATGAAACTGCACAAAAGAGAATGAGAACCGTGCTTATTCCTGATTTAAAAAAAAAAAAAAGAATGTTAAGTGAAAGACAATGGTAACTGAAAAAAGCAAGAGTTACAAATGTATGTATAATACAGTATGGTGAAGAAGAGGAAAACACCGCTATGTGTTCATATTTACATGCAACCCTCTCGGAGGATACACAGAAAACAGGTGGTTACAAGAGAAGTATACTGAATCACACTGTAGAAGTCTTTTACTTCCAGGAACAGTACAGTGATAAATAATTTTAAGTAAAAAGACAAATTGTTCTTAAAAACTAAAGGATCTCTAGAGAACATAATCTGAACAGAAACACATTAGGAAAAGCACTGATCTTTTTACTGAGTAACCAAAAGTTAATGGGTTTTGAGTAGACAGGGCAAAAGCTCTCAGGTGGTGAACAACACTGCAAACAGCTGTGCATTTCACAGCTTTTAACTCCATGGGTCCAATGTACTTGAAATATCTGTCACTAATGATGTCTGAGTATGAAGCATGCTCAATCTCCGGCAGGAAAATCATAGTGAAGGTCCCTAGGATTTGGAACAAGGCCATGTTCTCAGGTGAAGAATTAGTCTCTTTGAGATGTAGTCCTTAGGCAGTGATTATAACTAGCAGAAACTAACCTTGAGATACCAAGTGACTTGAGCTGCTCAAAATGTATTGGGTGTTACTGGGTCGTCAAATAAAGATGAGCATGTCCAGTAGCACCACTATCAATTGGAAATGGTACATATTGACAGTCTAGAAGCTTCTTCCTGCCATACTGCCATTCCTTAGTCTATTGTATCATGGCACATTCCTAAGATCAATTGACTGAGAAAGAAAAATTTGGATCCTTTTTTTTTTTTTTTTTTGAGTTGGATTCTCACTCTCTCGCCCAAGCTGGAGTGCAGTGGTATGCTCGTGGCCACTCCAGTGGCGACCAACAATCCTTTCACCTCAGCCTTCCAAGTAGCTGGAACTACAGGCGTGCGCTCCCACACCCGACTAGTTTTTTTGTTTATTGTAGAGACGAGGTCTCGCCATGTTGCCCAGGCTGGTCTCGAACCTGTGGGCTCAGGCAGTCCTCTTGCCTCGGCCTCCCAAAGTGCTGAGATTACAGGCTTGAGGCACTGCACCCTGCCCCAGGATGGAATATCCCCTATTCTAAGGATAGTGGAAGTTACCAAAACCAAACCTCTTTACACATCCTATATAAGAAACTATACAGAGCAATAACAAAAGCAAATGAAACCACTCATGAGCCACACCTTCACATAAGTAGAGAATACTTCAATTTTCAAATCCCCTGTTTAGAAAAATAAATATATATGGATATCAAATTCTAGCAGTCATTTTTTTTTTGAGCTCCTGCCACAAGCCTTTAGAGAAGGTGTGTTTTGAGGGGTCTAGAAGACTGCAGAAGAGAAAATAGTAGAGTAGAGGGCCTGAGGATAAGCTAACAGAATGTCCATCCCAAGTGTGAAAATACTGTAAAATAATCCTGGTTATATACAAGCAATGACTAATGGCAAATGGCTTAAAATTGTGTGGACTTGACATGGTAGTCTTGGTAAGTCATCACTTCTGGGATAAAAAAGTCAACAGGAATTAAGTTGGGAGGTGTTTTTTGGATGTGGGTGGTGAAGGGGAAAAAAGCGAAGGGGAGGATCCTGCAAGACAAATGAGAACCGAAAAGAAAAGAGGACAAAGAGGTATCAGCAAATTGACAGCAGAAATCTCTAAGTCTTCCTTCCCCCCACAGAAACATTAATTTAGTAATAAGAACCAAACTGAAACACAGGAGGAAAATTTGTGGCACTATAACCACGGTCCCTAGCCCCAGCATGGTGTGACTGAAATGGAAAGAAATCCCAACTCCTATTGTTATGACCAGAGTGTGAGAAATAAAATGCCAATACACAGAGAACCAGATTTGTTGAGTCCTTTTAAATAGCTAGCGACCGAGAGGGCAAACACCATTAAAAATCTCTCAGCCCCGAGCAAAGCAAGCAGGGGACTCTTATAGGCAAAAACCACAGCTTTGCAATTACAGTTTATATTTCAGGGAGGGGTCAGAGTCAGGGATGGAACAATTTGCAGCTATCTGCTTGCTTAGTTTGGCCAGCCAGCTACTGTTTGCTTAACAGGATGTAGGGGACAGGGATTTTCAAGAAAGGGGGAAGTTACAGCTCAGGGGCTAAGTGGAGTCCTGGTTACATGCCATCTGGTTACGCACAGGGTGGTGGTGGTGGGGCGGGGGGATGCATTTGGGCAGCAGGCAGGTAACCAAAATGGAAGATTTTAACAGAATGGAGTTACTTATGTTAAACAAGTTTTTATAGGTTATTATAGGTTATATAGCCATATAGGTTTTACAGACATTTCACTATCCTTGGGAAGTAAAAGGAGTAGAATTAGGATAGATATTTTGACTTTTAGAGAGATTTGCTAGAGGGGCTGGTTTTTATTTTGGTTGAACCAAATATTTGACAGGAATAGGGGATTCAGTTTGAGGGTCTCTGAGAACAAAGTGCTCCAGAGTGAAGAATCACATACAGATGCTAGTGGAAGCTCCAACTGTGGCTTCCTATCGCATCAGAGAGGCCACAGTATGACTGACAAGAGACTGAGATAGAAACTAGTAAACATCTCCAGTTAAGAGATTACGCACACAGCACCTGTGAGAACACGTTTCCAGAAAAGAGTTGAGAACTCTAGACTCTCTAGGTGGGCTGAGTGAAGTTCTATTTATATTAAACTAGTTCGCAAAGCCTGGGAGAAGTAGCTGATTCTTCAAGTGGCAGAAATCCTAATAAAAACAAGACATACAAAGAGACAAAGGAACATGGCACATTTAAAGGAATACATAAAATCTCTAGAAACCAATCCTCCAGAAATGGAGAAATACAAATTACGAGACAATCTAAAAAAATACCATCATAAGGATGTTGAATAAATTAAAAGCACAAATAAGAAAATCAGGAAAACTATGTATGAACAAAATGGGAAATATCAATAAAAGGAAACTGAAAACCAAAAAAATCTTGAAACTGAAAAATACAA